TTATTTTGGCTTAATTAATATTTGATATTTTCATAAATCCAACCCACTGCGCCCCGCGCCCGTTACACAATCAATGAACACTAGTAATTTTTTTCTTTCATTGTGTTTGACCACCGTAGACGAAGTGGACAACACAGCCTATGAAGTTAGACGACTTTTAAGTTTCATGAATATTGCATATCCTAACGATCCTTCTAGCCAGACTAGAATCAGGATCATAGGGAGTAACCGCTCCTGATTCACTCTAACCACATATGTATATTTCATATGTGGTTCATATGCAAACAAGTCTATCAGACGAATAAATATCGAAACGCATATGAGCTCTGAAACTACATCATATATAAGCCTATTGTCATCCAAATACGAGGGTTTCTCTGAAAGAGTACTCTGGAACTCGGTAAGACAAAAACTCTGAAAGTTCACTAACACCTCTTATAGCAATCGCGAGTATGCAGTGACAGTGCCCAATGGTTAATTAAGCATGAAAAGCGAATATGCCGAGTGGGTGTTCCCATACGAAGACCGCCTAATGGGAACTCCATTGCTTAGACGGTAGACGGTCTTGGAGCTTATGCACTTATTGTTCATATCCATAAGCCCTACACAATATGCCGCTGACATTGCTGCGGCTCTAAATAGAGGTATTCGGAAAAAGGAGGCAATCCTCGTACGATTCCAAGTTTACTCGAGCTCTTTTGATGGCACACGATTATTCGCCTCTCCTTTACAGTCTCACCTATCCAGTTGCTACGTTTACGATAACAGCCATCACCGCAGAAAGCTCAATGTAGTCCGATCATCCTTTCTGGCTTCGTAATACCGTATGTCAGGTAAATTCGACGTCATGATACACATGCAACTGACTCATGGGGGAAGTGACCATCCATTGCATTAACCCTTTGCGTTACGGGAATGATCTATTCCATCAAGTCTATGGATCAGCCACGTAGCACTAAAAGGGTTGATCTCAGAAAGACAAAAAAAAAACATTGATAGCACGGATACCTCTTGCGAATCAGATTACCCTTGCCTAGATGAACTTGATGAACATGAAATGAATAAGTCCACTTACTTGGAGCATTTCAGGAATTTCGTGCTTCCATTGACAACAGTGCAACTCATTCCACAAGAACCTGGAACCCTTCTGGGAATTGCTACGAGAAGTATCCTTAGTGGTGTCAGGGGGCATCCAATATGAGAAAAAAAAAGAGAAGTTGATGGATGGTGAACCTAATTTCCTCTCGCATGATGCAGATTAAGGAAATTTATTGCTTGAATATTCCGTTAAAACTAGTTGCAGTTAAACCCACTGCAAACCGGAGGAAGTCCATTGTTCGGTTGTCGTGGAAGGAGTCACCACGGTATTCAGATACTACCACCCAAGTAGCACACGAGCGTGCTCAATGAACGTTTCATATAAGATATTACCATAGTTCCATGAACGTCAGTGGGAACGTTCCATTGGTTGCTTAAGTTTCCGAAATATAGAGATATAAAAAAAAACGAATTATGCGTTCCCTGAACCACGTGAATTCATCACGGACGTGAAGTGCATATTTCCAATGAAATTTCCCTTTCAGGATTCCAATATTCGATTCACGTGTCGAATGCGGTATCATCACTTGAATTACATTCAGTCCAAGTAAAGCCCTGCTTCCGTGACGAGGATAAATTACCCTGATGAATTTGATTTGTCTGGTTGGAAGTTAAGTCTTCCCTTTTCTAAGATAGTCTGGTGCAGAGGCGCGCTGTGATACCGTCTTAGCATGAAAACTTTCACCATAACTACATGTAACGTTGTAACGTTACATGTAACGTTGGTTATGCGAATCTTCGGTTCAAGCCATTATTCAGATGGACACCATAGATATGCTTTAGAAGAAACTTACATTTGACTTTCAATGAATGGCCTTCAAACACAGCAAGTTTTAAAATGAAACATAATCTTAACTGAGCGCCCAAAAATAGAAAATTCGTGCATATAGGGCGTCACAAAACCTATTTGAGCAGACCTGGAAAATCCCCGAGAGCCTTCTTGTGCTAAGTGGGCACTGTCATTTATATGAAGACTACAGGTTTCATTTGACCGATTATTACCCACGGCAGCCTATCGTGTGAATGGGGCATTGTGTCAACTATGGCTATAACATATGGCTATAACATTAAAATAATGTAGTAAAATTGCAGAACCAAAACGGCAATGCAAACACTAAGCGCGCTGATGTCTTTCGTGAAAGCTCATTTCATTTATCCTTCCACGTGACACCTCGGCAAGTCAATAGAGAATAGTGTCCAGGAATAAAAACAAACATAATCTACATAGGACTGTAGTTTGAAAGCAGCATACGACGTGGATGGCAGCTTTCAGGCCCAGCGAGAGTGTTTCCCACTTCAATCTACAACACACCTTCTGAGTGTCGGCGCACAGACGATGCAGAGAGAAGAGCTCTTTTTGCAGAGCCTGTGTGAACGCAAGTGGCGACGAACTGACGAATCGCCCAGTATTTCATCATGGATGTTGTAAATCCCGTCATTCGTGGCAACAACCGGGAGGCACTGCAATGAGCGATCCCACCGTTCCCTTTCGAGTACCACGGCAACTCTCGTTCCCTCTTCCATCTGAAAGATGGCGAGACAGGAGGAATCTCCTATTTTCCTTGGATTTTGTCAGCGAGTCTCGGCTGGAGCACGCTAAGCCACCCACCCTACAGCCCAGATTTGGCGATTTTCCCAGAGATGATGAAACACTTGCGTGGCAGGCGATTCGATCATTGCGAGGAGCTTATAGAATAAACGAAGACGGTGCTGAACAGGATTGGCAACGGTTAGGGCATCAATCCGCTGCACAGTGGTACGAATGTCCGAAATTCTTGGACAAAAGTCAAATTTTGTGAATGGAGGAATGAAAATTTTTTTGTCGTTAAAAGTTACGGATTAAAGTCCTTGTCCTGCATCGATATTTCTCCAGGCCTTCCTCTGGTCCTTTATAAGCCTTTCCGTGGTGCAAAGGTCAATAATTTGCACTTTTCTTAAAATATAGAGATTTAATGCGAAATTGTGACAAAAGTTTGTCATGAAATACGACTGTTCTTGTCGCTGTTTTTTCATCAAGTGCGATCTGAAGGTGTACCCGAAGGTGAGTCTTGCTTGTTGTATGTATAGTTTTACTCCTGATGTATATGCATAACTCATGTCATTTATTAGATCCTGTGTGGTCGATTGATGAACTACTTCTAATGACAAAGTAAATTTATCGAGTGAATGTGAAATACTTCTCAAGATTTCTCAGAGAATTCCTTATAGGCCAATGATAATCTATTAAAATTTATTAGATCCTGTGTGGTCGATTGATGAACTACTTCTAATGACAAAGTAAATTTATCGAGTGAATGTGAAATACTTCTCAAGATTTCTCAGAGAATTCCTTATAGGCCAATTATTATATATTAATGAAGAACAAAATCAGCCCAAAATCTCCTGCGCCCAGCTGCGCCTTAAGTGAGGAAAATTTTTTGAAGAACTCTTCCAGCCAATTGACGTCGTTGTCTGAAAACCTCTCGGCCTTTCTGGAAGACTTAGCCCGAAGAACCAAGTTAAGTCTTCTGAAGCTCGGCAATTTTTAATAATTGACATGGCCCTTATTCATGAAAATCCTGGCTTATTTTGTAGTTGGCTTGAATGAGCTTGACCAACACAGGAATGACACTTGAGTCAGCAGGGTCAGCTCGGTTCATCTGCCTCGTGATGTTGACAAGGGTCCTTTCGGGTCAAAGGCATTGGGATATATTTCCTGGAGAAATTGCGAGATCAAAAATCTGAAAAATTTTCCTCACTTTAGGCGCAGTTGGGCGCAGGAGATTTTGGGCTGATTTTGTTCTTCATTAATAGATAATCATTGGCCTATAAGGAATTCACTGAGAAATCTTGAGAAGTATTTCAAATTCATTCGATAAATTTACCTTGTCACTAGAAGTAGTTCATCAATCGACTGCACAGGATCTAATAAATAACATGAGTTATGCATATACATCAGGAGTAAAACTATACATACAACAAGCAAGACTCACCTATAGGTACACCTTCAGATCGCACTTGATGAAAAAACTGCGACAAGAACAGTCGTATAAGTACTGTTTGAAAACAGTGTTAAAGCGTAATTCAGAAATATAAAATTCTTTTCAAGTTTAGTAACTGGAAACGTGGTGCATTTCCGAATATTTCCTGGTCTCCTTCCGGACCTCTTTATAGCTACAAGAAGAAGGACTTCAATCTGTAACTTTTAACGGCAAAAAAATGTTTCATTCCTCCATTTTCAAAATTTGACTTTTGTCCAAAAATTTCGGACATTCCTACCACTGTGCGCCGGCGTTAAGGCACTTCTCCCATTGTGTCACAAGCCGCTGTAGGGTGTCCTCCTACAAGGTCTGTTGCACCTGCTGCAGAATTTCCCTAACTGCTTCCTTCACCACGTCGTCCGAGAGGAAATGCCGGTCTTTCAGGTCTCGTTTCAGTGCCCCGAAAATCCGAAAATGGCACGAGGATAAATTGAGCGTATATAATCCATTGCTCATAGAGTTCCTGGTTCATTGACACAGTCAACGCCGAACGTTGCAGCCAGACACTGACCCGTTAGCGCAGCGCTATAAATAGCAAGCACCATGGTCTCCTGACTGATGGAGTCATCGTTTTCCACGAGAACGCCCGATAACACAGCGCAGAGTAATATTAACATGCTGCACATTTGTCTGGGAGGTGCTACAGCATCCAACATATTGTCCTCATTTATCACCCAGGGATTTTCAGATTTTCGGGGCACTGAAATGGGACCGGAAACTGGTTCGGGTCAGATTTTGGCTATTGGATGTTAGCAGAGCCTTAAACAATTAAAAACCGAGATCCACATTAACACTAGTAGCAGGGTATACAATACATGAGGAAAGATATTGGCTGGCAATTTCACTCTGGGAAAGTTTCTCTCATTCCCACCGATAAGAGAATTAATGAACTGAATAGAAAAGAGAAAAAAGAAAAAGAAAAGAAAAAAGGTCTTCTAGAAAAAGGGCGTATGTGCAAAAGATACATTTTGAGAAAAATGATAAAAACCTCTCGTATCTAATATGAAGCTGATCAAAATTTAATTATCGGTAAAATGGTACCTCACACCTATTTCCAATCGAACGTGGGGTTTAAATGAATTTCTTTATCTCACACTGCTGGGATGCTGGCGGAAAATGTTTATACACATACGCGCTTTTTCCATATACGCACAGCTCAAAACTTTCTCCAACTAATCTTTCACTACTCTTTTCCAGTTAAAAAATAGTAATCAATAAATGCATCTAAAGATTTCAAATTAACTCTTTCTCGAAGAAGAGCAATGAATATGTGAATATTCAGCACACGTTTCATTCACCAGTCACTCAACAGTGATCCATTCTTAATGTATTCATCTGAATCTGCATCTATTTCATGGATATCTCCAACTTCTCACATCCTTCCAGAGACTTGAACCGCCTCTTTCTTTCCCTTTCCTCTCATCTGGTTTCTTTCTCATTTTTTCTTTCAGTTTTAAAATACAATATAATTCCACCAAAATTGTTCAACATGCAAGTTCTAATTAGAATATTCATGGGCAGCCATTTTGAAATTTCCAGCCAGTTGGCCTGCTGCGTAGGGAGAACATTGGAAAATATGCTTCTACCTTGCTGAATACGCATCTTAACTACTTGCTGACCACCATATCCGATGACTAGTCACCTTAAGTACCGCATGGACAAGGATATGGGAAAAGGGCGTATGGGCACATAAGCCCCTTTTCCAGAGAACTCCTCCATTGTATCAGGATTCAAATTCTGCTTTATCAAGAGGCAAACTTTTCCTAAGTGATTTTTACCAATTGATCTAGGTTAAGATTTCAGCTGTTTCTCGAAAGTCTTTAACTCCAGAAATTCTATTAGTTTGAGCCACATTCTGCCGGCGACTATGGACGCGCATGACACATGCGGGTCAGACAAGGTTACCACGCAAGGCTTTTCAGCTACGAGAGATTTGAGGTAAGCAGTATGTCCGTTACCCTTTCATTTTATTGTCATATTACCAGCGTGTAATGGGGAAAAATTATATTTACGGGAAATATGCTGCAAACAGTGATATTTGCCATTTCATGCTGTCAAGACCAATATATGCAAAACATGCTGAATAGAACAAACGCCGCTGGAATGCCTTCATTGATATAAATTGCCACATTAATGGAGCATGAAAATGGTGAAAGACAAAAAAAAACATGTTATAGCATGAAAATCTGCTCCCTAATTATGAGCAAGTTTGGTTGTTCTCATGAAGAAAGGGAAAACCAGTAGTTATTCTTTCAGAAATCACAAGAAGAATATAAAAGGAAGTCGGTTTTTCCTCTGAACCTTGCAAGAAAATTTCAGCTCTTAATTTCATTCCTGGCAGGAAAATTTTTGAAGTGTTTCATGAAAATACTTTCTAAAGTATGAAGCTCAAACGACGTGCAACGTTTGGCAATAATTAACTTTTTTTTTAAATTGTGTAACCTAATCTGCATTTAATATAGCTGAGAGTGCATTTAAATCTGCGATTCTACATTATCTCAGCTTTAATTAGAGTTTTGAAGTGATTTTCTAGCTTGAATAGAACCAAAGATAGCGCCGTAAACCCAAAGGTCATTTTCCCCCTTGGGGGCTAAGTTTGGAGTCGCATATCTCGAAAGCCATAGGAGCCAGAGAGTCAAATATTTACTTTTTCAGAAGTTTTTTTCAGAAGCCAACGAGCACAAATTTTCAAAGCAAATCGGAGTGTGAAGCGCAACCACCTCTTGACCACTTGAACTGGAATGCCTCTACATTTCTCAAAACGCTCCCATATTGAATTAAATATATTTTTCCTGCTTGAGTCTGGTAGAGGGCATGCGTTGAACTGTCATGTTTATGCCAGCAAGGCCCATGGTGACGAAATCCCCACGCCAGGTGAAACTATGCCGATACGCCGTCGAGCGGTTATTAAAGCTGGCAAACAAAGGCCCTTCGATTGGCTATGGCTACAAGCGGTATATGGCTTTTCGACCCACTCTGCATCTTTAGCTTGCCGAACTGGGTTTTGCTGTCACGGGCACTGTAAATCCCAGGAGAAAACGTATACCGCCAGCTCCAGCGTCCAATGGACGGAATGGAAAAACCAATGGACTAATATTCTTATTCTTAGAAAAATGTATATTAATGCAACCCCATCAGTAACGAACATTGGGTTCTTTATTGCTATGATGTAATTCTCTTACCATCCCATGCGTATCCCCAATCTCTGAAGGGGGAAGAGGACTGGGGTAAAGGTAAAACTCCATCGAGAGTCTCCCATGTCTTCAGATGGAGGCATTTGATTTTGCCGGTTTTCCGGTCGAGGAAGCCTCCTCTTTTACTGTTTTTTTCTTTTTTCAGTACCTCCTCTCCAATCCTCCTCGCTGTCACATTCCATGTCGGCTCCTGCAACGCAGATAATAATGTGCAGCCATATCAAAGCGAGACTCTCTGCATCATTCATACATGTGGGCGTGGGGGGGGGGGGGGTAATCTCACAACAACCTTGCAAAAAGAACACCCACCAGATGTATCTAGAATCAGGTGGATCTCCCCGTCGGCGTTTTCCCACCGGTTGAAGGGAGATTCACCTCCTTTACCTCTTCACGGGTGGATTAAGAAGAAAAACTGGCAATTTTTTTTATTTCTTCACAATTTATCCTATGATTAATGTCTGAAAAACAGCCTGATTGAAGAAGAAGAATGTATCTGCAAATAGACCTCGTCGAGAGCTATCAAAAGGGAAAATTTAAAACCCGTTTTTCAAAAATAGTAACGCAAGAGCAGTCTCAATATATATTATCCTTATAATGATTATACGCCATGAATGGGTTGAACATTCATTCAGGGGAAAAGGGGAACTTCCAACTGGCTTTAAAATCGCATCTGTAGATGATTAGCTGGATATTTACTGCATGAAACATCCGTCAGGTCGTTCAGCCAAGTGGAAGTAGGCATACGTTTTATGAGAGGAAAGAAAATGCATTCGATAGGAGGAAGAAGACGAAACAAAGGAATTAATGATACAAAAGAAGAGGTCGTAAGTGAGAGAAGAAAGGAGACATCCGGTGCGTCGGGCATGTTACCTGTGTCGCTGCCACCTTTGCCTGTGATGTAGGAATATTGGGCAAGTCATCGTTTTTGGGTTATATTGCATTATTGTGCATCATCTTGCATGTAATAAAGGCATGCTTCCTTTGGGTTGAATATGTTGTTTATTATTTATAATTCCCCTCATTGTTTTTTGCCTTAAATCTCATGCCTGACGGCGTCTCTTGGACTAAATCATCACCCACGAAGGTTATTTCATTTCGAACATAAAATTAAATCCATTTATTTCCTTTAATTTCTATCATGAAAGATTAAGAGCAGGACTACAGGTGCGAATCCGAGCAGATAACCAAGCAGAAAAGTTCATGAAAAATTGTCTGATATTCTTTGGGAAGGCATTTCTCGGAAGAGTTTTTCCATCGATGAAACGAGCAGATAACAGGGTATTTTCTCATGGCACTAGGTAACATCCTTCAAAATACGAATGAAAGAGAAACCGTTTTCATAGTAGATATTTGACGGATAATATCAGCCAGAGACTTTTCATGTGTACTGATTGGATATTTATAGGAAATATGCGTATTTCGCATATCAAGGGCAGAGGGAGTCTCTTTAAATTTGTATGGTATCGAATTCAATAGGATGTATGTGTGTATTGAAAGTAAATATTTAAAAAATTCACTTGAACACCACAAATCGAGGCTGCCACAATATTTTCTCCCTTTCCCCTCTGGTCTGTCCTTTATTTCATGAGACACAAAGTAAAATATTGGAGAACATCTCATTGTACAGCCGTAGCTATGCCATGTGCATTGTCCCTTGAAAGAGGTATCCGTTATCATATCATCTGAAATATTTTTCGCATTTTATTGGGACAAACCGGAACAGGTATAAAAGTTCGCAGTACGCTAAATATCTTTCAAGTCATCAAAACTTTGACATTTTAAAGTGTCTTCCTGTTAGAGGAGGAGAAAAACAAGATGGACATGCTCAATCCCGTAGTGGGCTTCCTATCATTTAAGAAGCTAATTATTTTGTCACCTGCTTGAACGAAATGTCATCTCCTTCCTGTCCTGGACCATGAAAAATCTCATTCCTCAATTATATTTGACAAATCTTCCCATGGCGCCTGTGAAATGATTATGGGAGGATGGAGGGTTGTGTATTGTTGGATGCATCCGCTACCAAGGCTAGTAGAGGACTGAGCACTGCTTGGTTACACGCCACCGCACCAAAGGGCAGATTCTTACGTGCATGAGCATTTTTGTTCAGGTTTCTAAGGGCTATCGGGAACTCATGCCATCCTTGCCATTTGAAAATTAAAAATCCAAAATTCGGGATTAATTTTGTGGAAAAGCCGTCACAAACAAACTCACCCTGTAGCTTGTTCATATCAACCTGTTTGACAAGTTTTTGCATTGATCAACTCAATATTTACTTAGCTATTGTTAGATAACCAAAGTGCGGACATACACAGGGACATAGATGGGCATGACGGTACCATACGTGGTCTCATTCCTTTCAGGAAAGGAGGTTCACTTAAATCGCAGGAAACAAGATCTAGTGATTAGGGAGGTTGTTCCAAAGAGGCAACATCATATTCCGACAAAAATCGTTGGACTGAATGCGCCCAGAAGGCTGTGGCATCGGCGCACCAAGCACTCGAATCCCACAGTTCTGCACGTCGATGGCGAATTTCATTACGTCAATAATGAAAACATGGTCTATCTTGACATGTTATTCATCCCAATAGTCTAATGGATAGGCGTCGATCACCTTGAATCAAATAACGAACATGATCAATTATCATTTGCATCAAATATGCTTTTGGACGACCACCCTTTTCGTCATTATTGGCGTCTTCTTTTTCATCTTTAATCTCTTAAGCTACTCAAAACTGTAGCTATAGACACAACCATTTCGGAACACACCTATTTCGAATTTGCATTCGTTTTGCTGCTGATTTTCTTAACTTGCTGGAAGTTTGATGTCCTTTCGCTTTTCAAGGTGAAGGTCTGATATTTCTATGACGAAACACTTAAACACTTACTTCATTAACGTTACTCCATACATTAAAAACTGAGTCAACTGAAAGGAATAAAATATAAGCTTCACTAGAGAACTGTCTGAATCTGTCTTAACTAGTCTGGACTTGTGCATGGGTTTCACTTTTGCAGTAAGAAAATCAGTCCCCTTATTTTTTGGTCAAGACCTGTAAAAAAGATAGAAGAAAAGGGCTGGCTAAGATGTAGGGAGAGTAAACATACTGTCAGAAACTTTTCCCTTTCATCTAGTGTTAGGAAGATCCCTCGGCTCGCTTCAACGTCTCTGGAAGAGGGGCCATCCCAGGTCTGCACACGGTGCTCTTCGATCATGGTCTTCCAAAGGTCTTCATGGTTGGGGATGTTGTCAATGATGGTCAGTTGATTCCTAGAGCGGGATATCACTTCCAGTAACCAATCGTCACTCACGTCCACAGCAGTGACAATCGAAGTCTCACACCCACGAAAGTTCTCAGGGGGAATCACCTTGATTTTAGGGTGGGTGTTCAGGATTTCCAAAGACGTTAGCATGTTTTTATCTGATGTCAGGATGTAAGCTTGATGCTTTTGGACCTTTGTCAGGGCATCATGAGGGAGGGAGGATGCAACAGCCACGGATTTCCTGCATGCCGCCTCTCCTTTACAAATGTATCCTAAATGTCGATTCCTGCACTTGAAGAATTGCACTGGTGGTCCGAGGACGATAGCGGCGGGCACGGAAACCACGGACAAACTCTTCGCTTCCAACTTCAGAGCTCTCCCAGTTTCATTTTTCTGGATATGCTCAAGGAGAGCTAAGTTTGTCGGTTGAGAAGTTAATACAATCGCAGTGCTGGCAGGGTCCTTCGTAAGGACTTCTATAGTTCTCTGAATTGCCTCCACTGAGGCATTTTCTGAATGAGGTTTGAATACGAGTATCAACCGTATATTCATCCCTTTCAGTCTCTCAATGGATTCTTCGAGATCCTTCAATAATGGACAGTCTTCAACGACCACGATCAGGGCTCTCTCCTGCTTTGACTTAAATGCATTCCAGAATCTTTGGGACAGGGAAGACAGCTTCTTTCTCTCCTCTTCCATTTTCCCTTCCACCCGGGCAATTATGTCTTTAAGGGACGTAATCTTTGAATCGGAGGCATAGTCTAAGTCCACATTGTCCTTTCTCTTCCAGCGCCGTCGAAGTTCGATCCAGGACAACGTACTTCCTTGGTGAAGAAGAAGAATTCGTGCCTTCTCCGACGGTTTCTTCTGCGTCGTTCGGCTGATCAATAGGTCCACTCTCCTGGATTTTCCCGATGCAGAGGGACCAAATATTCCACTTAGGAGACGCCCAAGCATCAAATCCACATCGCCTTCCTCCTTTCCATCCCTTCCTTCTCTATCTATATTTATTCCAGGGAAGGAAGAAGAAGAGAAGTCCTCCTCTTTCAGATAGTCGATTTTATTCGTATCGCACTCTTGCCAGGCCTTCTCCAGCCGTTCCTTAAGGTCTTCGTTGAAGCTTCTCTCCGAAATATCCCAAATTGTCATTTTCTCTTTGATGCGAGAAAACTTTCCTATCCTTAGTTGTTCCTCTTCGATCACGAGTATCTTTTTTTCCCCGGTTGCTGCTATCAATCGAACGTAGTTTTGCCATTCTGACTGAGCGAAATCGATTACCACTGTCACACTTTTCAGGTGACATCCAATGATTTCACTTTCGGTCGCGACTACGATAGGGATATTCGAGACATTCAAGGCCTTTTTTTTACGAAATTTCCATACCTGATGGTTGTGGCTGTTGTATAGGAAGAGTGTGATGGACGGGTAGTCAGATACAAAGATATTCACAAGTGCATTCTTTCGCCTCTCGTGATCGACCACGACGAAAATTGGGATTTTCTCTGATGACTTGGAGTGCTTTTCGTAAATTATACGTATGGCGTGAGCGGCCCTCACCGCTTCACAGACCTTCTCGTCCTTGCATTTGCCCGGATGAATGGAGAAGCAAGAGGGAATGGGAAAGAGCACTGGTAGAAATCCCTTCCCAGATTGTTCCATTTGTAGTGGAAGTGTCTTCTCGAGAGATATGAAGATTCGACGTGAATAATCCCCGATAGCAAGAAACAGCTCAGCCACATTTCTGCTGTTTCTCTTCACTGCCTCCAAGACTGTTACCTGGTAACCACCGGGCATCACATCCTGGATGGGGAAGTCTCTTGTGTAGGACTGATCGTTTGGACGAAAAGAGATGGTGATCGACTTCACTGAAGGAATCATGTCCACGATCCATTCCCAATGTTTGGAAAGGTCTTCCGCAGTGATGAGTTTCTGGAATCCTAGAGTGATGGGAACTTCATCAATGAGAACGTGTTTTCCTTTTCCCTCCTCCTGAAGATACTTTTTTAACTTTCCAAGGTCTTCATCCAAGCCTTCCTTCCTCCCATCTACCACCGAAATGTTCTTTTCTTTTTCTGTTGGGAAATAAAAGGAGGACTGTTTCTCTCAAAATGATTTGACCTCATCTGGAAAATAGTGTATGCTAATCTTTTGCTGATTCTCTTGAATTCTAAAATGACAACATTCGAATTTCAAGCAGACATAATTTCAAGCAATTGTGAAGGGATACATTCAGCCTTTAAGGAAACACCAATAGCCCAACATTTTCTACACGTTCCGATTCTTTCCCCTGAAGTGAGATTCGTCATTCTAATTTGACCCTTTTACTGCCACGCAGTCGATTCGTAGGATAAAAACCATGACTTATTGTTCCCCTGGCACTAAATGAGGTTAAGAACGCCCGGGTAAAATAGGGTTTTGAGCTTGGCCGGGATGCGGATCGGCTCGATAGGACCAATCTGACCCGTGCAAGGTCGTGTAGCGAGGTTGACGATCAAGTTTCCGATCGAGTGCGAGCGAATGCGCAATCTTAAACCTCGAGTTATGAAACCCAGAGGACAAATCTGTTTTTGGACCGGTCCGATCGGCGATCGATTTTCAGGTCGAGTCCGGGTCATGATGTGCGAACTCCGCTTTGGAAAGTATTCGGTATAATGCTATTCTTACTGCCGAATTTCCGGCATATTACTTGAAAATGTGACAATTTGTTTTGGCTTTAATTCAAGAAGTATCGCCTCCGGTTATAAGCTTTCGATTGACATTTCACTCATGAAAATCCTTTCATTCGTCTAGGAGGAGTTTCCCCATAATGGCACCCTGGCACAGACAGGCTTTCCTCTAATGCAATATTCAAACCGGAGGACCGAGGTTGCGAAGCAACCGAGACCGGAGGTTAAACATATAGCGTGCGCGATCCTGATCGCTAGACCGAGCGACAAATGTTTCTTTTTTTGTTTGTTTGTTTATGTGTGTTTATGTTTGTGTGTGCGCGTTTGTGTGACAGCTCTACAGGCCAAACGCCTAGAGATATGGGATTTGACAGAATTCTTCCTCATCAACCGAGGATGTGCTTTTTCAGAATTAAATTTCCAAATCGCCGACGGGAAAGGGAGGGGATGCAACTTTCACTGAAAATCGGAGCCTAGCTCTCGTCTCGCAATCTCTTGGAAAAACGAGGAGACAAGTGTTGCCGCTATAATCGCAAGGGAACGGTGTCACCTCTCACCGTGATGCTTCCCCCCCCCCCCTATTGCCGGAAATCCTGAGCCTTTAAGCGTCGACGATGAAGAGGAGTGATATATTTTTCTTGAACTCTATTTGCATTCACCGCCTTCACTCCATTCACCGAACCGAAGATAACTACGGGTCTACCAGTTTCTTTAGCCAAAGGGGAATGCCTCCGTCATAGGGTTATGTCAAGTCGAAAGGTAAGAGTTTCACTTTGTGTCAGAGTATTATCCCGAAGGTATGACAAATAAGGCACCGTAAAAGTTAATTAAAAAGGGAGAAAATATTGCCCTCAGGTAGCATGATAGGAACAATTACACTTATCAAGTATATCCTTTCACCTCAAACAAATGAACCCCAACCGTTCTCCCTTTCGGAGAAAATAAGGATTTATCCCGAGCGGAAAACGGCGCGGAAAGCGTAAAGCGAAAACTAGCAGTTACCGTCAGCACAAAAACGAAGCCGCTGGCCAGAGGCGGACTTCGTCGGCGGAAGGAGCGGAAATTCCGTTATAGGGTTTTAGCCATTCGGGCGGGTCTAGGCCGCTCTTTTTAGAATGTAATTCCAGTCCAACTATACCATGACCAGACCTTATGCCTTGCTTTAAAATATATATCCGTGAAACCTCAGCTGAAAGCATTCAAATTCGGTTTTCATTTCTTTTTCTCTCAGTACAACGCATTGGAACTTCTGTTTAATCAGGCAGGTGAGATCAAGCTGAGTCCCGAGGCCGTGTTTCTGGTCGGTTATAGTCGTTCACTTGGAGAAATTGGGTGGCGACAATTCGTGTCTTCCTGTTTGCATCCAACACTCCTAAGTATATGCTGGAATCTGTCTGGAGGCATCCTTGTATATGTAAAAAACGCTTCTTTACCTATCAAAAGCATTCCTTGCATCAGCGCGTGGTATTATCCGTGCTACTGCCATTGATAGATTGACCGCACACTCCATCTTCTCTTCAGGCTCTTCACTCATTTTGCAATTCCGACCGATGGATCAGCAAAAGCAAAGCCCAATAATTTATTCAAACATATATGCGGTATTTTACAAGCACTCCAGTATAAATTGTCTTTCATCCGGTGAAAGGGACAGGGAAAGCGGATACTTCCGTTCTCGAGTTTGACGAACTTCCTCCATTCCGCCATTACCGCTGCGTTTAAATTCAACTTTATCCGTTTACCTTTTCCGGTCCACTGTCAGAAGAGCCCCGGCAAAATTTTTCCCCGGGCCTATTGTTGGGTCTCCTCCGACAAAAAGTTATCCTTGTCCAGTCAAGGGGCGGGTGAATTTAGGTAACGTGCTTTGTTGCCAATAACATTCCGATAAGTAATAGACAACGACGAAAAAAATATGGAAAGACTTCAGATTGGTGATGACACTCTCAGGAAATACGGACCGACAACAGGTTAAAACTGCTGGGATGTCGTGTCACTCAGTGATCGCAATATTATTAAGAGCGACTTCAAGTCATACATAAATAATCCCAAATAGCAACGAACCCTGAGAAATACTCAGAATATGTTAAGTTTCACCTTACCTTTCAGATCATGTTGAAATTCTTCAGTGAGGAGTCCTCCAGCGATATTTATCACAAGGACTTGACTTTCCGCTGTCAACCGTTCAGCTCTTTTTTTTAGGACAAATCAAAAAGGCCAGGGACTCGGAGGTGTATACTTTTATTAAAAAAGAAGTGTAAAGTGATCTAAGGAGACAACCCCTCATTCATAGTCGTTGTAGAAAAGGTAAACGAAGAGTACGCATCGTTTCTCGAGAGTGTAGTTTCGAGGAAGCAGTTGTTTACTCCGACGTCTTTGTATATCCAGTTTTTACAAGAACTTCCATAAGTATTGGAACCCTAGGCCCAAGGTCCGCAAAAGGTTATGTTATAACGAATCGGGGTCTTTCCAAAACTTTGAGTTAAGAGTACCGAGATCATCAGAGGTGAGAATCCTCTTCCGGCAATCGTCGCACATGATTATTTTTTCCAAAACCGACTTGGAAAGCAAAGGAAAGGCAGCAAAACCTGCCAACTTCACATTTGAATTGATAAATTCGCCACACATGACCCTAAATAGCTTGATATCCTTCTGGACTTGCTTCAATGCTTTCCGGTGATACTTAAGGATCGTATTCCGGTTTATCTTTAACTGCGCTCCCTTAATTTGAAAGAATATTCCAGCAATGCCGTTCCCAGATACTCCAACTCCAAAGACATCATGATCACCTGACTTCAGGTCATCCTCCGTAACGCCAAAATCCCTGATTATTTTTTCCTTCTGTTGCTTATTGATTCCATTGAGCAAAGTGTTGGTGAAAACGTAATCACACACTGTGAGGGAAGGCACACCCTTCAACGCTTCTTTGACTTTATCGAACACCTTGGCAACTGAGAGCTGATCTGGCGGCAGGTCCACATCTTCACCCCTCCATGCTGTTTTGCGAAGTTTCTTGAAGTCTTTATTCTTCAAGATGTATCCCTCAGGGAGGGAATAAGCTATGGTTGCATCTGGGTAGTGTTGCTTCACATATTCTCCTGCAGCTTCCACCAGCGACCTTTCATCATCAGCACCCATGTATATTTTGAGGTGCTTTCGAATATCCAAATTTCTTCTTCTTTCATAACTTTTCAATTTTCCTATCTCTGAAAACTCAAGGCAGTTCTTGCATATTGTTCCAGACTTCTGTAAAGACAGAAGTTAATGATACCTTGTTAGTCTTGCAAGAAAATTAGCAGCAACATTTTAAACCTTTTTCATGACTTTGTTTTCATTTGGAGAGGTATGCAAATGTGCATAAACCATAATGAGCCTGGGAAATGTGTACGGGAAATTGCTTAGTGGATGGAATTGCAACAAGTCAAAATCACTATCTGGATTTCTTGTAAAACAGCAATTACCTTCTGAAACAAGCAAAGTTTAGGTGAAGTACAGTTTTTCTTCATTTTTTTCATTTGAGAAAGTTTCGTTCACAATTTCCTTCGTCAATTATGATTTTCGCAGGGATAGAAAGTGCGCATTTTTTGCATCCTATGTTTAGTCATTCCATTGATATGTTTTACTAATGCTTTTCCTGCAATCACACAATAAAATTAACGTCGCCATTTATATACAGTGATAAGTTGTTCTCTTTTTCTTCTCCCTCCCCTCCTGCCCTTTCCAAGCAGTTTTGCGATATGTTTCATACCGTAGACGGGCATGGCAAAAGAGGACTACAGAAAACAAGACTACTATCAATCGAGGAAAGACTAAGATTTACAACCAGTTCAGAAGCTTGGCCGGGTTGATTGCAAGCAGACCAAAGGGGGAGGATGGAGTGGCTCTGGTGTAGGCAATGATGGGAATGGAGGAAGACGTTCTTCGATGACCCAACAAATTTTGCAGTCAACACTGGCATTAATCAGAAACTCATGGAGCACCTTCACATAATTTTTCAAGTGATTGCATCAATATATGATACCAACATTGCATTTTTTCAGGGTTACTGCTCAGAATCTTGCTCTTTCAGCTTGAAGCTTCATGTTTGGTATTCCTTCATTGTCTCTCCATAGCGTCATTTCCATGGAAGTAATCGGTAACGTTGTGCAACCAATAGGAATGTACTCGGAAGGTCAAAAAGCCAGACATAAAGATAAATCCTGCTAGCTAAAGCACTCAAGGAACATTTTCAAACTGCATTCAATCACTGATCAACTGAGCTTCTGGTACATCACAAGTGATGCCCTGATAGCTTTTTGTTTTTCAACGGAAAAATGAAGCGAAAAGTCTTCAGCACAGCAAATGTTGTTTCTCCTTCGTTATTCTTTGATTAAACTGAATCCGCAACTGAGTCCAATCCTGATTATTAGTGTGATGAAACCTCTCCAGAGCACTAGTTGAATTTTCATATTACAGAGTTTGCAGATTCTCATAAGTAACATTCTAATACATAAACAAACCATCATCGAAGAGTTCAAATCAATGTCCAACCGGAGAATACACAAAAATTAGGGAACAAGAAAAAAAAGAACTCCAATGACTTATTTACTATATGGTATCGTATTGAGATGTTAATAGTCTATATGCAATAGCACCTCACATTTCCTTCATTTGAAACAAAGAAATATGATTTTGGCATTTTCCCTATTTTTTCATACTTCTGGACCAATGTGCACTGGTGTAATTTCTACGCCACGTCATATCCATTCACCATTAATAAATGAAAGCTTCAATGTGTACAAAATCAGCCAACGGGAATAGTCGCTCAAAACGCGAGAAAGACCTAGATAGCGCACGTCTCCGCATCGTGTGGAGATGGGAGGCGCGCAACGTGTAGGGTTGATTGATGAAGTGTTTTGGCCTGCAGTCATGTCTACACTGTCACGAACAGGAGATCCCACCCTACGTCCACTGTAACATCCGAAAGGGAATTGGCCGGTTTAGTTGGTGACTAATATCCCGACACATGCTGAACTCTGGACGTGTACATTGAGTCGAGATGAATTGAGGAGTTCCCTGTAAGGGCGTAATTGTCCATACGCCCTTTTTCCATATCCGTGTCCATATGCTGCTTGAGGTCACTTGCCATAGGATAGGGTAGTCAGCAGGAAGGTAAAATGCGTATTCAGCAAAAAGAGAAGCATATTCACCTATGGCTTCAATATATAGCAGGGCAACTTCCTGACAATTTCAATATGGCTGCCTCCAAGAATATTCTATTAGCATCTGCATCACTGAACGATTTTGGTCGAATAAATCCATTCTTTGAAAGCTGAAAGTGAAAATGAGGAAGTAGCCAGACAGGAGAATACAGGAAGTATGTGCCACAGTCATTCAAGACTCTGGAAGAAAACGAGAAGTTAGGGAAATCCATGAAAAAGTTGGAAATTCTGATGATGAATATATTAACAATGGTTACTGATGAGTAATTGGTGAATGAAACTTGTCCTGAATATTCACCCTCCTATTGCCATTCCTTGAATGAGAGTTGAGAGAATTGAAACCTTTAGATGTATTTCTTGATAAATTATGATATTTAACTGGAATAAAGTGGTGAAAGACTGAAATAGTTCCAGCAATACGGATATGGAAAAATGGCGTATATGCAATTTCAAGCAAGACTTTATGCCTGTAACTTATCAATGCAAGATATAGTAATTCGTCAAAACCCCAAGTTCAATTGGAAAAAGGTATAAGATTCCACTTGACTGCAAACTGAGCTTTGCTCAGATGCAGATAAGATGCGTCAGGTTTTTGTCACTCATCTCGAATTGCATATTCTGCATCTTTCCAGAAAACTCCTGAAGTAAACCCCTGTTCCCTTGACAGCTGTAGACAAAATGAGTGAGAGACTATTTTGCTATACCAAGTATAGTTCCATCAGGGTGTGTTATGTTTATAGCGTTTCGGCACGTATCTGAAGTTGTGTCCATTGGGTTAATTATTGACAACAACGACAAATTTGCAAAATTGCTCAAAATCATTAAAGGACTCCGTACACCATGCCAATCATAAGCGATAGCCTTCATTCACTGTTCCTGTTGCTCCACAACAATGGGCGCCCACTCATCACTTGCCAAGTGATCGACACCACTGATAAATAGTTATGGAAGACTCATATGCCTAACTCACAGGCTGCATCTATCGCCTCGAGATTTTCACCTGTTTCTGCCTCTCAAGGAGTACCTAGCGTTACCATGGTGACGAAGAGTTTGACGTTAGTGTCCAGGAAGGGCTGAGAGAACAAAGAAATGATCTTCGAACTGAAGGCCGCAGGTCATTGGTGCATCATGGAATAATTTCCTTGCCCAAGAGGAGGACGTGTTCATAAATGCAGTGTCTTTTGGAAGGTGGGCGTCAATTTCCTTGAAGTTGCCGGGAAAGATAAAAAAAGTTATTTGACCCTAGCATAGCTGAAACTCCAGAATATGCCATGCCAGATACAGCATCAAACGATAATGCAATCACTGTGTAACAGAGAACTCTAAATTCGCACATTTTCCAGGTATTTCAAACCATTATTCCTCCACTTCACAACTGTGTCATGTTTTTCTTCCTGAAGATATCGAGAAGAAGCAAATGATAAGCTCAGTCCATGGCAAAAAATTACCTGTCATTCCTCATGCAATATTGCACTAAAAGTTCACAATTTTGATGGTACGGGATGAGGGAAAAACAGTAGTAGGACTGTCATGCAACTTTGGATTGCAAGTTAACCCCCCCCCTTACGATATGGTCCCCCATAGACACAAACTATTCGGTATTTCATTCTTCAAACTGGAGGTGTAATTAAATTGAACATCCTCAATTAACATTCAGATGAAATTGGAGAAATATTGACATTACCACTGCAGAATTTATTCCGGTCATTGAGGTATCCTCCACATCTGGAACGACATTTGAGGAAGCTTGAGCCATATCAGTTGTTGCCCGGTGCTCCTTCCATTCATGCCTCCCTGAAAACACGTGCGGGAATAATAATATCGTTATAAATTCCAGAATCGCATTCCAAAAGCAATGAGTCATGAACATGCCTTGGTACACCTAACAAACACTTCCTGCAGAGGTCTCTGTGTAATATGCTAAGGAATTCCACTAGACTAAGCAAAATTTATTCATGATATGGAATGTTTCACTTCCAAACTCACGAATTCGGTTAACCTGTTTCTCACTCTGTTCACTCATCAGCCCAATCATATTTGTGATCTCTATTGTTTTAATCAATTACAGTCAATAGGTATATTGCATCACGCATCACAGGAGTCCACTGCACTAAGGTGTTCATTAATTTTCTACAACAAAATAGCTCTCGGAATGGTGAATAACGCAATGACAATGAAATAGGAAGGGGAGGGTGGAGAAGTGTGCGCAATGAAAGACTGTCAGAGGTGCCTGGACAACGATGGTACCCCTAACGCCGGATAGCTTCTCGCTTGTCTTATCGAAGATTAACTTGCTATCCTCTTGAGCGGAACTCACGGGATGGGCCGCTCTCTCCCTCACTGTGATCGGACATGGACAAGGCTAAACATCTTATTGCATCTGACTTTATCTAAAGATTGTTATTCTTGCTCACGGGACAGAAATCTGCTGTTTTCCCAATATACTCCTTTTTATGAGACTTCATTCCTTCTATGGCATAGGAGATCCTATGAGAGGGTTTGATGAATTTCATTTCATAATAAAGAACCTGGGAAGTTCTCAATGGGTATGGTCTCGTTCTTGATGAGGCATAAGCTAAGAACTTGCTGATCTATTTCACCATATTTGTTGTAAAAAAATTACCGGAACCAGGTGTATTTTAGTGGCTATTGCGATGAGTATTTTAAATACATTTTTATATCTTCCTCTCTCCTGGCGAGTTTTCCAGCTCCTTTATAAAGTAACAGAACTTTGAAAGGAGAATGGAAGGAGATCGGAAGAATGCTGAAATACAAAATGAAAATCCCTAAATGAAATATCCACTCCCAGTGCGATAAGAATGAGTCAGAGAAACACTATTTCTTTATCTTTGATATCGGGAAGGAGGACACCAACTGAAGATTGTTTTTTTCCCACTCCAAAAACCATAGTGCACATTCGATTCGTCCCATTACGATCTTGAGCCACAGTGGGTCAAAACAGGGAAAAGCATGGCTGACCTTCAAGGCTTCAACATTTCAATGAATTTTGTTGGGTTTTTTCAAATATACATTAGTAATGTAGTAAAGAACTTTCCAGTGATAACGATATACAAGGTCAAAGCTTTCCAAATCCGGAATTATTATTGCGTCTGCAGGTTAAGTTCTGTAAAACATTTAGACCCCTGAAGATTATTTTTGGCAAAATATATCCAATTTTGCTGCTTTGACATGAATCAGCAGCAGCTTGTGCTGCAAAGATGTGACGGAGGTCTACCAGGTATGCAGAGTTTGTAGCTTGGAGGAGCGACTAGGGGAGCTATCGGGAAGGCTCATTAGCGTGGAGGAGGAGATAAGGGGGATCAGGAAGGAGGTGGGCGAGGTACAGAGGGATGATTTAGTGGCGAGGCTAGTTAGGGTGGAGGAGGCACTCCGGGGGTTCCCCAGCTTTCCGGACTTTACTGGGGGGGTGGCCCTTTCGTCCTTTGACAGCGCGTCGAGTGCCGACTCCCAGGTGGCTAGTAATTGGGCTNTAACATTGGAAGAGTGTATGTCTGAGGAGAGAATTCCCTCAAGAAGCATGGAATCCATGGTACGCGCCATCCTGTTAATTTAGGGATGTCCGGATATCTGCATATTCCACCACATCGATCAATATCTGCAAACCGCAGCTTCATTCTCAACTCATCTCATGAACTCAGCACGAAAATGTCTCATACATTAAAAAATAGGATACAGACGCCAATACGAAGGTAGAAACAGCTTTGAATCTGGCATAATTTTGGGACGGTATCCGGCAACACTGGGGGACTGTACCGGAGCCAGCACTCTAAGCCTAATTGAACGACAGCTAATTTCAATTTTTATGACGAAATTGAGCATTGCAAACGGCAAGAAAAAAGCCACTTTTCGTCATCTACGAGTCAATATCTTTCTTATGGTTTGTCTCTTTCCTCTGAAAACCCCCTAGGAATGGCTACCCAGGGGTGAGGAAAAAAACGGAATGAGTTTCGCATCCTCCTAAGACGAGATTCTGTTTTCTTTATAACCCCCTGGGAGATGGAGCTTCAAATTTGCTGGAGCGATTCTGTGGTGAGAGAGGAAGAAGTATGTCAAATTTCGTTCCTGTTGATCCTCTCTGGCAGAAAAACGAGGAGGTTGAATTTTGCAGCGGGAAGGGGTTCAAGAAAGGTAATAGGCGCTGCCTCGCCTATTGATACGGTCGAAAAAACTCTCCTCGTTTTCTTGCCTAAGTTGAAGCAGTTCTCGATACGTTTCCACTCGATGGACCTTTTGTTTAGGTCCCAACAGGCGAGGCACCCATCAAGCAGAAACCTTCGTCATACCGAGATGTTCATGGAGAATTTCATGAGCCTTGGCGGTGCTGACTCCCAGGGTATTAGCAAATTAGCAAACTCGTCATTCTTTCATGAGAACATTTTACACATCGTGAATATTTTCATCGTTGGTAACCGTTCGAAGGGGGACCGCTGCGAGGGATGTCTTCTAAGGTTTGACGACCATCCTTAACCCTTTGAGGTACGTCCATAACCGGTACCGGTACGTCTTGAAAGGTTCAAGAAAAATCGCTCATCGAAGGGTTAAACCGCTCCAGCCATCTATAAACGGTACTCTTCGATTCTGCAGATTCTCGAAAGATAGCTTGCAGCCTTTGAACAGCCTCAGAACCGCGCGCACCTTCTCTCCACGAAAAGGAAATAATCGCTCGTTGAACTTTCATTTCGTCTTCCATGGCTTGGAAAAGTACAACTGAACTGAGATGAATAACTCTGTTTAGGAGATTATTCCGGAAACAACACTGAATTCAATCATAACCAAAGTCAGCCTTATCTAAAGCCTCTTATCATAATAGATTATCCTCTATTTCTTTTTGTACACTGACGGAATTTACGCAATTTTCTGTCCATTGTCCATTGTATGTTTTACATTGGAGGTATATGACCCACTCAAATGAATTCCTCCTATCTCTTTGAGCTTTCATGGAAGTCCTGCTGTTTGACAGATCACAAAGCTCAGATAAAACTAAAGATTAGGTAGAGCTACAGGACCGTTCCCCAAATTTTTCTCTCTCCCCTGTCAACATCCACAGAGTCCAGGAAACATTACGATACGTTATCAGCTACAATGGCGCCGGGGGTTCTAGACCTAAAGGGTGTGACTTATTTCCTAATCCGGTCTATCTCTCCCTCCTAACTAAAACGTACATAAACGCCTCTTGATGTCACTAACTATCTTGACTCTTGACTCTTGACTTGACTCTTGATGAATCGGATGCTAACAAAATCCTTGATTGTGAAGGGTGGCGGATCCTGGAGGAAAGCGCTTGGGCTAAGTATTTAGTCTTCATCGGAATTATATAATGCAATATGAAAGTTGACGTTTGAGGCGTTTATGTACGTTTTAGTTAGGAGGGAGAGATACGCCGGATTAGGAAACAAGTCACACCCTTTAGGTCTAGAACCCCCGGCGCCATTGTAGCTGATAACGTATCGTAATGTTTCCAGGACTCTGTGGATGTTGACAGGGGGAGAGAGAAAAATTTGGGGAACGGTCCTGTACCTCTACCTAATCTTTAGGATTTATCTGAGCTTTGTGATCTGTCAAACAGCAGGACTTCCATGAAAGCTCAAAGAGATAGGAGGAATTCATTTGAGTGGGTCATATACCTCCAATGTAAAACATACAATGGACAATGGACAGAAAATTGCGTAAATTCCGTCAGTGTACAAAAAGAAATAGAGGATAATCTATTATGATAAGAGGCTTTAGATAAGGCTGACTTTGGTTATGATTGAATTCAGTGTTGTTTCCGGAATAATCTCCTAAACAGAGTTATTCATCTCAGTTCAGTTGTACTTTTCCAAGCCATGGAAGACGAAATGAAAGTTCAACGAGCGATTATTTCCTTTTCGTGGAGAGAAGGTGCGCGCGGTTCTGAGGCTGTTCAAAGGCTGCAAGCTATCTTTCGAGAATCTGCAGAATCGAAGAGTACCGTTTATAGATGGCTGGAGCGGTTTAACCCTTCGATGAGCGATTTTTCTTGAACCTTTCAAGACGTACCGGTACCGGTTATGGACGTACCTCAAAGGGTTAAGGATGGTCGTCAAACCTTAGAAGACATCCCTCGCAGCGGTCCCCCTTCGAACGGTTACCAACGATGAAAATATTCACGATGTGTAAAATGTTCTCATGAAAGAATGACGAGTTTGCTAATTTGCTAATACCCTGGGAGTCAGCACCGCCAAGGCTCATGAAATTCTCCATGAACATCTCGGTATGACGAAGGTTTCTGCTTGATGGGTGCCTCGCCTGTTGGGACCTAAACAAAAGGTCCATCGAGTGGAAACGTATCGAGAACTGCTTCAACTTAGGCAAGAAAACGAGGAGAGTTTTTTCGACCGTATCAATAGGCGAGGCAGCGCCTATTACCTTTCTTGAACCCCTTCCCGCTGCAAAATTCAACCTCCTCGTTTTTCTGCCAGAGAGGATCAACAGGAACGAAATTTGACATACTTCTTCCTCTCTCACCACAGAATCGCTCCAGCAAATTTGAAGCTCCATCTCCCAGGGGGTTATAAAGAAAACAGAATCTCGTCTTAGGAGGATGCGAAACTCATTCCGTTTTTTTCCTCACCCCTGGGTAGCCATTCCTAGGGGGTTTTCAGAGGAAAGAGACAAACCATAAGAAAGATATTGACTCGTAGATGACGAAAAGTGGCTTTTTTCTTGCCGTTTGCAATGCTCAATTTCGTCATAAAAATTGAAATTAGCTGTCGTTCAATTAGGCTTAGAGTGCTGGCTCCGGTACAGTCCCCCAGTGTTGCCGGATACCGTCCCAAAATTATGCCAGATTCAAAGCTGTTTCTACCTTCGTATTGGCGTCTGTATCCTATTTTTTAATGTATGAGACATTTTCGTGCTGAGTTCATGAGATGAGTTGAGAATGAAGCTGCGGTTTGCAGATATTGATCGATGTGGTGGAATATGCAGATATCCGGACATCCCTAAATTAACAGGATGGCGCGTACCATGGATTCCATGCTT